TGGACCTTTTAAATTCTGTCATCATTACTTATCAGGTACATTAGTTTAAAACCTGCAATTTTGAACTTAGCATTATTGAGCTTTTGAAAGATTAAATTACTGAGCTTTTGTTTGTGAATGGCTCTGTGAAATTTCCTGAAAAGGATAGTCCTCGTCCTTCATTGTGTAAATGTGAATGCCAAATAACATACTTTATTGATATTTACAGACATACAAATGATAGGACTAATGCACCTTAATGTCTGTCTCCCCGAGTGAAAAGGCAGAGCACTGTCAGATAATATGGTTCACTGTTCTCCTTTGTAAACCCATTTGGAAGAGTTAGTTTTTATCCCTCCCTTCTCTTCCTGAAAACTTTATTCGCACAAGCAGCTTCTCAGAGGCAGGTTTGCAGTACAGGCCTCCTTCTAAGGGTCACTTTTTTTTTACTCATTAGGTAGATCAAAAAATCTGTAACTCAGGTTCCAGAGGTAGCTTGCATGTATCCGCTGGCAAGAGAGCCACGTCCAATACATTAAAAAATTAGATATTTATAAGCACATCCACAACTACATTAGATAGGGAGGATAAAGTGCCACATTCATTGGGTGATCAGCCCCAGTCAAGGGTTTAGGAACAAAACACCTGCTTTGCTGTTAAATGCCTCTGCTACCTGTTAAGCATTTTTCTCAGTGGGTTCAGGAAGAGGGTGATCCTGCAAGATCTGCTCCAACAGCCATCCCGAGGTAATTACTCTGATGACACAGGTACCATCCGGGTCCTGGACATGGCAACCTGTGACCTTCCTCTTCTTCACACCGAACACTGAGATTGAGTCTTCAAGGCAGGATTTTCAGAGCTGGATAAGGAAATTAACCTCACAAACCCCTTAGACATATAATGCAAATTGGGTGTTTTCCTTATACCAACACCTTTGAAAACTCCCACTGGGTTTCTCAGAGTTGTTTGGTGAGAGCAAGACTTCTTATTTTTCAAACTTTTCCAACTTTTTAAGAAGTCAATAGAGGAGTGAGCCAACAAATAGGAAGAGTGATAAGAGTGACAGCCATGAAATGCAAAAGGAATGTTTGTGAGAATATATGTTTCTTTAATGAGGTAGGAGGTAGGTTCAAATTATGCTCATAAAACAAAATCAGAGAAGAAGAAAAGATGTACTGTAAATATCCCTGACTCTGTATTAGACCCTAAATGTAGGTACCGCCTATGCCTAAACAACTCAAAACACTTGGAAACAGTTTAAAATACATTTTGTTTTGCTTGTTCAGCTTTTATGGGGTTTTTCTGTGGATTTTTTTTAAGTTACCATGTTTTTTCATGCCTCTGAGATAAAACCTGTTATATTCGCAAGCCAGACTTCAAATAGATGAGTGTTCTGTATATGTTAAAAGAAAGAAAATTATTTCAAAACCAAAGTCTCTTCTTCTGAATGATGCTTTCTTCCTTTTTCCCCCACAAATGAAATATACTTTCAATTCAGATGCAAAGAGCTGGACATCTATTCAACACATCAATTCAGTTAACAGTGAGAAGCATAGTCTAGCTACAATATTCATGAATTGCTTATCAGGTCAAGTTTAAAAGCCTCCAAACTCTTGTATGTTCTCAGGTGTCTTTGTTATACTTGGATACCTGTAAGACTCGCAAAATATCACACAATCATCAAAAAAAGCCACGGAGCTACTCATCAAAAGTGAGTTTCATTCTCTCCTCAAAATGATATTACTCTTGTTAGCACTCATTGAGAGGGGGAAGATCAAGATAATATACTTATTTTTAATTTAGAGCAATTATGTTGAATATCACCTAAATTGCTAAAGGTACAACTTGTGTCACATAACAAAGACAGTATTTTCTATAGATTTAAACTGCTTTAGCTGTTTCTTTGACTCCTAAACCATTGACTGTACATCACTCTGTACCAGTGAATTTTAAAATGTACCATCCACCTTCTAGTGGAAGATGTCCCTGCCTGTGACAGGGGGTTGGAACTAGATGCTCTTTAAGATATCCTCCAACCAAAACCATTCTATGAGTCTATGGAAAGATAATAAAGATGTGCAAACAAAGGAAAAAATAATCAAGGCAAAATGAGTATACTGATTCATCAGCCCAAAATGAACAAAGCTATGGATAAGAAGAACACTTCAATACGAGGTTGGAGACGTGAGAGCATCATCTTCCTGTGTGACATGAGGGTTATGGGTGCTTTACCATTTTTGTGCAACATGAAACAAGTCAATATGGCTCATTCCAGTCAAGGCTAATATCTGCTTTTTTATTTGGGGAGTAATGTGACTTGGAGACCCACAAATGTTTTTTCTTGCCTGTACAAGCTCTTTTCATTACTCTAAAAGCTCATTACCATTTCAGTTTTTAAATCATGATTCTCATTAATTGCTACTGAAAAAAAAGGCTCCACGTTTGAGCTGTGTGTGGTACCAGAGAGCTTGCATGAGCATCCAAACTTTTTCCCAAAGTGTATGGGAAAGTACTCAATGGCTCAGCAGATCAATATACTAAACAATCCAGAACTCCAAGGCAAGAGTGGTAAAACTGCTTCCTCCTTGAGTAATTGTTCATGAGGACCTTTTCACCTTCCTTTAAAGATGTGGATAGAAATGGATCCTCAGATCCATGGGAAGATTGTAAGGTTTTGAGAGATACAGTTCAGGGGTGATTATGATGGTGCTACATATAGCTGGACTGCATTATCTTGAAAGTCTCCTTCACCTTCAGTGATTCTGTGATCAATTAATTGAAACCAGTTTTCTCTGGTGTTCTCCAAAGAGGGAAAGGTCTTGGTCCCACTGGTGGCAAATGTCTTCAACTCACGAGCAGCAAAACTGTTGGAAATGAAACCTTTTCTCTTGAAGATGAGATAATGAAAATATACATGTGAAAATATACAAACTCCTTGACATGATCTCACCTGAATGCACAGGAACCTGTTTAAAGAGCACGTGCTGCTTCTTCCATCCCAAACAGTTTTCAGGCATTTCAAACCATATTCTGTGGACAGGTACAATGCCACAAACACCCGCTGCCCTTCAGACAGGGTAAAAGACAAGAGCATCTCCTACCCAGTGGAATTTCACAATTCTCCACTGAAAACAATGGGAAAGTAAAGAAAGCCAGCTTTTCCCTGCTGCCCCTCCTTCCACATCCTCGCTTCTGCTCCTCTAAACCTTTACAGAACCAATGAAATGAAGGTTTTAAGCTGAGCTCAGCTGCACACTGGCCTTGCTATGCCCAGCAGCAAAAGCCTTTGGCTGCAGGCAGAACGTGCTCTGTGGCATGCTGGGCACCTCACATGAACAACACTGCTGCTGGAATGATGTGTGAGGCACTAGCAATGTTATTTATGCCTATTAATTGAGAGCCTTTCAGATAATGACCGACAAATGTGCTTTAGTTTAGGACACAGAACAGAAAGATTACATACTAATAGCAACAGCCAGGAAAGAAACATGATAGGCAGGGACAAAGAAGAGCAAACAAGAGAGACAGAATTTGAAAATGGCAAAGATGCAAGCAAATATTTGTGCAGGCTAGCTAATGTCAACCTACTCTGCAGTGCCTGGGCTGTGTGGCCCTTAAGAAGGACCCTGAGCTCCAGCCTGTCTGTCTCTCAAGGGAGCAGGCTTATCCAGCTAGAAAATACTTTGAGGAAGAGGAGATATTTCTCAGACGTGGTTTGGAGTGGAGTTCTCAAAGAGATACTTGAGGCACTTGAGATTGTTAAGCACAAAAAGTTAAAAAAAGCTGGTGGGGTGCTGGGCCTGACAGAAGCCTCTGTGGTGAATTTTGAGGGAGCAGCAATGCTGATACACATTCTCTGAGGTGTTTGTATTTTGTTAGATGTAGAACTAAAGTCCAGAACTAAACAGAAATATTCCACTTGGAAAAATAAAGTTTAAGTAAGTTCAGGTCTCAAATGCCTGTGTTTAAAGCTCAGGTAGATGTGGAGGCAAAATAGAGTAAATGTTATTGGAAGACAAGATGCAAAATAGAGAGTCTAATCTCTCTGCAGGGATCAGCACACTCACTTTATCTGGTTTCCATCTGTCATCTGAGCTGCAAGTTTACAGGCAATGTACTGTCTGTCCTAAAATCTACATCTCTGATAAGGCATTGGGTTTTCTGCAGTGGAGAGTCTCCTCCATGGAGATAATCAGTCTTTTTATTTGGGGAAAAAGGTAAGGGAAGTCACAAACATGCTGGAAAACAGACAGCTTTTCTGTCTGTTTTCACTTTCAAAAAACCATCACATTTGCAAAGTTTTCTCCTGGAATGGGAATAACATTTTCCAGTTCAGAAAATACTGTTTAGACTAAACAGAACATTTTTTTCAGGTGATGGTGAAGGGTACTATGAATAGAGTTAAATGGAACTAAAAAGATCATTAGACCAACAGATTTTCCAAATAGTTTTCCTCTGATTAATTTTCCTAATAGCTCACAAAATGCACTGTTAAAGAGTTAACTGTATTATTAAATAAAAAACTTAAAAGCAGAGATGAGGGTGCTATGCTGGACAGAAGTCTCTGTGGTGAGTGTTGAGGAAGCAGAAATGTTGACATTTCTCAGTACCATTCTAGAGTGAATTTCAAAGGCTTTTCCTCCTTTTACATCAGGTCTAATTTCAACACAAAAATTGTTCTATACTTGCAAGAAAGCACCAGGAGTAGCAAATCTGAAACCAGTCTGCACATGACATGAGACACAAAGACACGAATTCCTGCTGCCTACACTCTGGATAACAGGGTTTCTACCCAACTGCACCTACTGGGTCACCCCACAGGCTGGGGAAAGGCAGAAGTGTTTTGAATCAAACCTATGTAACCCCTGAACTCTGCATGGCTTTGTGACTGTCAGCTAAGACTGGCCATAGCCAACTTGGGTATTAGCTTATAAAAAAAGCTGAATTTATCCATCTGTAAAATTTACAAATCTTTTTATTTATGTACATATAATTCTGTAAAAAGAAATAAACACTTCTGAAACACAGACCCTTTGAAGACAAATTTGAACCCCCCCTAAGTAAATCTGCTGCTGCTTTTTGCCCACTTATTAAACTGGTTTAAAAAAAAAAAAAAAAAAAGAAAACCAGAGTGCCAAAAACTTGCATAAAACTGATTAAAACTTGTAAGCCCTATGTGCACCAGGTGTCAAATCTAGATGCAATGTGCCTTATGTTACCACCTGTGTTCATCTTATTCTGGCCAAAAAAATATCCTGTGCAGATGTGCAGGAGGAGGAGGAGGAAGAGGAGGAAGGTAATGGTGCTTCAGAGTAGGGGGGGAAAGGGGCAGCTTTGGCTGAGGCTTTCACAGCAAGGCTGCAGTCAAGGAGCACTCAGCTGCACAGCAGAGGGTGGCCAGGTCTGTGTGCACAGATCTCTGCAGATGTGGACACCAAGGAAATGCTTTTTGCCAGCTCAGTGTCTCTGTGTGCTGCTGCTGATCCATCTGCACATGGTGGCACGTGCCAGCTGCAGTATTCCCTGTGATTGATAAAAGGATCAGTTAGACAGAGTCTTTCAGAGTTATCATAATCACCACAATTATGAGCTGATCCTGACATTTCATTTTCTTTCCACTTTTCTCCTTTCTGCTGCAGAAGTAGCTGAAGAATTCTGATGATTTGGGAGTGACAGCAATTAAAGCCTTACCTGCCCCCAGTGGGTAAAGTTCAAACCCAAATGAGAGGGGTTTGGATAGAGAAGGAATGAATTTCATTGGTGATCCTGGTTTCTCAGTTTCTATGGAGCACCAGGTCCAGCAGGGAAGTGCTGCTTGCTCCATGAATACGTGGTGTTTCTTCTGCATCATCCCAAAATTCATTAAAACTATGGATGAAACCCTGGAATATTTTTCTTAGACCTGCTGCATTATTTCCTGTATAGGAAACATGGCATTTACATCACTTTCATTCAGATAAGAGAGGTTCTCAGCAACACTTCCCCACAGTGACCTGCATCACTCCTCTACAGCTCTTTGGAAGGTAGGGCATCCAGTTCAGGGGGAGAGAGACACTTTGAGCATTTGCAAGACTTTGTTATTCAAAACACAGTTTGAAAATGGCTCTAGGAATTTAATTAGAAACTTCCATTAGGAGATTAGATGACTAGAACAAAGAAAACCAGTGAAAAGGCTTCTTATTAAAACCAGTAGCACTGCAGAATATTGATAATATAACAAAGGAATGAGTGGATATGCATAGCAAATTATTAAAGGTTACAGATAAATGTCCAAAAGTTGCTTAGTTTCTGGTTATCCCAGTACATACAGAAGCTACTGAGACAAGATGACATATGGTCCCTGCCCCTGCAGAACTCAGGGGCTGAGGAAAACCAGAGGTGTTTGAGCAGTGCTGTGTGTTACTTGTTTGTGTCTTTTCAGCTCTAGTGTGTAAATGAAGCACGAACAAACACACACAAGTCCACAGGTTGCAGCAAGGATTTTAGCTCCAGAGATCAGTAAATGTAAACTCCTCTGATAAAGAATCATGCCTGGAAAAAGGTGCATTTATGCCTGGAAAAGGACTGGAGCAAGAAGAGTCTCACAGTGGTGTGATGCTGCAGAATCCCTAAATACCATTACTGGGCAATGTCAGATCAGATGAGCCTAAGTCCTAGAAATTTCAGCCAAGAAAGCTGTCTGGGAAGAATCTTTGAGCTGGGAATAAAAAAAAAAAAATCAATAAAATACTTAAGGTCAAACTTGGATATAATTTGAATAAGTTCACCTTTCTAGGACTCAGATGAGTTGTTGTCATTTGTGGTAAATACTTAGAATTTGCTTACAACAGTTCTACTGTTTCCATCCAAGAATGGTTCATATTCACAGTAACCATTCAACCACAAGTTCCTGTGGTTCTGCCCTCTACAACCATCTGACCTGTGCCCAGTTTTATAGTTTATACAACTTGGAGTCAAGCCTTATTTAAATCACTCTTCATGATACAGTCTGGCCCACTTTGAATCCACACTTCAGATTTTCAAGGCTCAGCCAAGAGCAGTCAATGTGTTTGTAGCATGTATGGAATAAATGCCTGGGGTGTAAAAACATCTTCCTTTTCAAATCCTCAGTGTCAGATTTTCCCAGCCATCAAGTGTGAGACTGTTGGTGATGTCTGCACAACAATGCAACCCTGAGCTTGCCCAGGGCCCCTCACCATGCTGATGTGGGTATGTTGCTGTCAGTACCCTGGTCAGGTCATGTAGAGTTTGAACAGATATCTTTGAGTGATACTTCAGAAAATATAGATGATGAACCTTAATTTTCAAAAATGTCTTGCTTACCAACTGTATCCAGAGTCCATTTCTATGAACACTGATATATATGCACTCTATTACTCCTTGAAAAAAAACTCTTTAAGTAATCAAGACAAAACCAGTACATGATTAGCCACACACTGCCTATCCCAACCCTTAGCCTTCCCAGAACCAAAGATCCTCCCATCTTTCCCACATTCCAGTAGACTCCAGTGATCCAGCACCAACTGCCTTGTGCCTCATTGCACTGCTGTAAGAGACCCTCCTGAAGGACACTAATGTGCCTTCAGACAAAGAGCTCTGCAGTGCCCTCAGGATTAGCTGCCAACCAGGTGACACTGCCAGCCTGCCCGTGGGGATGGCAAAGCAGCACAGGTAGGAGCTGCCCATGGCAGCAGGTGGCCAACTTTCGTCTGCAGAAAAGGGAGTAAACCCATAAATCAGCACACAAAGATTTACAGGGACGAGTTTCCTCTTTGTTAACACAAGACAGAATTTTAATGGTTACCAGTTACTAAAAGGTTAATAAATTTGAATATTTCCAAGAAAAAGTAAGGGTATTACAAGATGAACAGATAGCTAGATGGATGACTGTAAAATACTAGAAAATTGCTGATTGCTTTGCTAAAGGGCAGAGGCAAATTACAATCATTGTCTTTTGTTCTTGTGAACCCAAGGCTTTTTTTTTTTTTTTTTTTTGTAGTCAAGTTATTTTAAAATGAACCATACAAGAAACTGTGGTGTCCTAGGAAAAAGAGAATATTACCCAGGATATTTAAATGGGTCATGAAACCAACCTGAAGCAATGCGAAACACCCCAACATGTTTGTGCATTTCACAGGCTTCCCAGAGTCTGGAAAAAACTGGAAGACATGTCTTTTTAGCAGTATTACAGTATCTTAAGGTCAATGATATGGTGAACACAAGCTTCCTCCCTTGGAATACAGAAAGGAAATTGTACAGCTACTGCAAGAGAAAACCTTGTCTAGTTCAGTAATACAAAGATTAAAAAATCAACTCTTGTACAGTTCTTGCTGGTAAAACTAGAAGGGATAACCTGCTTAGAAAAGCAAGGAATAGGGAGGAGAAGTATGTAATGGTGGCAGAACAGCTTGAAAACAGATCTTGTTTGGTACTTGTAATGTTTCTATAATAATTATTACTATTCTACTGAAGCAAACCAACCCCTCAAATCCAAACATCACAAGCCCTTCATCTTTTCAAAAGCCTGTGATGGTTCCCTAAAAAAATCTTTTGGTTGTACTGTGACTATTCCTGTCAGAAACTTGGAAGGAGAAACAAACTTTATGTCTGAAGAAAATTTAAGCCCCCTCCAGGCTATGAGGCTGTTACACAGGAAGAGGACAGTTGCCGCAGCTGGATGCCCACAAGCAGTTGTTAGTGTCTCATCCTAGCAGCAATCCGGACTAGAACACCATTTTATTTCATTACATCCTCGTTTTGTCAAGAGGAATGATTGAATCATTGATGACAATGATCTCATGAAAGAGTACAGTAATTCATGGGACCACCAGCCCCTTCTGGCCAAGGCTGAGAGCTCCCCTAGTTTGTGAGGCTCAGCAAAGGAAGGCTGACTTTGTCAGGGGGCCTTCCCAAACTCCTGCTCCAGCAGCAGCCTGGCAGCAGCAGTGGGGAGAGCCAGGGCAGCAGCCCGGGAAGGCTCTCCTGGCACCATTCCCAGGGATGACAGTCACTGGCAGCCTGCTCCAGAATCCAGGGGTCACCCTGGACACAGTTGGAAGTCAGCAGCTTTGGGGATCTCTCCGGTCCTTTTCTCCTTTAGGCAAGAGTTCCTTGGAACTTCCCTCAAAATAACTCTAGTATTCCCCCTACCACACAATATCTGCTTTAAACTTATGTTTATATGGTAATATTTAAATTATAAAGCACTAGCCTTTCACCTTTAGGTTCCTGACTGGATTCAAACCCTTCTCCTGTGGGAAATGAGTTTGGTGGCCTAAGTTGAGTCTCGAGTAGACAAAAGTCCTTATCTCTAAACTCCAAACATAATTCAGCACAACATGGCATGATTGGAAGTCCCTGCTCAGGAAAAGACAAGGAATGAGCTTGTGTCAAAAGTAAATTACCTAAGTAATCAAATCAATACTGAATTCAAAGTGGAAATATCAAAATTATCAGGTGGTGCTGTGGAGGCTACAAAATTGCTGTTTAGCACAATGTTTTCCAGCTATATTCGAAATGAGAAATGTCATTTAGAGCAGATAAACTACAAAAAATGAGGTCAAAGCTGCAAAGAAGCATAAGCTGAGAACCTTAATAAATTAAAAAATTTCCTTGAATAGCACCTTATCTCCCTAGGAAGAACACAGACAGTCTGGAACTGTGCACCTTCCCTACTCCCAAGTACGACAACCACGATCTTCATCTCAGATACTTTCAAAGATGGCTGAGCATGGGGTAGAAATATCATCTAGAGTTGAGTCCTTAGCAAATTTGATGAGCTTAAAATTGGACATTGCACGTCCAAAATACCTACAGATGAACTACTATATCTTTATGTTAAAAGAAATTCAAGAAAACACAGAAAGGTACAGTTCTGCTCTCGGGTTTGAGGGGATAAAAAGGTATAACAGGCTATGAATCTCCTCAGCTGACGATGAAAAAAGCAAAACAAAGTAGATCTTACCCATGTTGTGATACTTAAACCACCTCCTGGTCAAGTTAACATGACATTAGATGTTCACTCCATCCCTGGGTGCTTGCTTTCTAGTCTCTACCCTTTACTCACCACAAAATGGATGACATTTATGTTTCAGAACAGCATCACTTGTCCAACTTTGAATTACTGATCATAAAAATATCAGTTATTCTTTGAAGGATTGTTTGAACACTCTTTTTTTTTTTTTTTAATCAGCATTGCTGTTTAGTGCAACGTACACAAGGGGTTGAGTGGGGGAGCGATGGTGGCAAGAAATCAAACCTGGCTGAAGAGCTAAGAGTTTGCAATACCCTACCCATACAAACAAGCTTCTATCGCAGTTATAGACAGCAGAAATAAAAGGGAGCTTTTTGGCTCACAGCTATAAAAAAAAAATTATCATAGTGATGAAGTTCCTCAGCCATCAACAGAGCTGTGATAACGCTGTTTGATGATGATTTTCCCATGAATGTTAAACAGCCGCCACTGCGGAGGAAAAGGAGCTTATCTGCACCTAATACTGATCTCTAATTCCTGCCCTTCTTGA